GTCTTTGTTGGGACTTTTAATAAATAAAGTCAATGCTTCATGGATAAACTCTTGGAGGAAAAGGTAGATCAAGGTAAGGAAACATAAAATTCTTAGAAAATTAAAAATAAAAATAAAAAACCTTACCAAGATCAAATCAAGAATTGGAATTGCATCGAGGATAAAAATCTATCAAAATCAAGATTTTACATATCATGTTAACTCGTAAGTCGAAGAAAAATTATAAACTAGTCATAGGAATAGATTCAATTAAAATCTACCATTTGAGAAACTTACAATCAATCAACAAATTTAATGCCTATAAACATATCAAAATAACCTAAAAACTTAAAATTAATATGTGATAATTAAAAAAATAAATTATCATTTGAGCTATAATAATTAAAAAAAAAAAGAATGAATCATATCATTCAAAGAAAAACAAAGTTATAAAAAAGTTTGAAACTAAACCTGGAACAACGCTAATAGCAAACCAAAGCAACCTAGATTGCTAAATATGCATCACATGCTAGAAAAAACAGCAAAACACATAAATATAATTTAATACTAATAATAAATAATAAATATAAGAAATATTTGGTGAGATAAAAATAAGATAGTTATTTCGAACTCTTTCAACGAACACAATTCAACAACTAAAAAAATAGCAACATTAGAAAAATTCAAAAGTTAAAGAAGTAAATAAAACATCCAAGTAGATGAAAGGGGAAAAAAAAAACAAAATGAACTACTTGCGACCCCTAATTAGAAAATCAATTGCAAAAGTGGTTTGCTTGGTTTTTTTTTTTTTCAATTTACTCAATGAACATGCCAATATATATATATATATATATATAGCAAAACAACTTAAAAGTAGAAGTGGTACTCATTAAATATAGTTTATGAATCAACAAAGAGAAAATGTCAATGACATGTTAAGGTCATAAAAAAATATTTTTTAGCACCATCACCCATAAAAAATTATGCATTAGAACATAAATAAATGTATAAAAAGAGCTACGTAGCCAACCTAAGTAGCTTTAAATGTGATAAAAGTATAGTCAAGTTAAGGAACATTACTCCCACAATTGATGATTCAAAAAAAAAACTATGAAAAAAAAATCTGTTTAAAGTTATATTACCATAATAAATTTTGAAGATCAAATCAGCCAACAATTAAAGGGTTAGCTATTGTAATTTTCAACAAGAAAAATTTATGTTTCTACCGGTATTGTTGGTGAAACAATCTAACAAAAAACGACCTAAAAACCCCATATTTTAAAGTTATATTACCATAATAAAATTTCAGTTCAAGAGAGAGAAAACCTATTGAAAGCTATCAATATGCCAAAATTTAAACCTAAGTAATGAAATATATACTTTGTTTTAGATGGATTGATACATAAAGCACAAAGCAACAGGAGAAACTCCATAAAAATTTAAATAGTTTCGGATAAAAATTTCATGTTTTCTAGCACCATATTAAGAACAAAATCAAAAGGAGAAAACTAGATAAATCAAGCTTGCAATCATATAAAGTTGAAAAAACAACTTAATGAACAAAGAAGAAATTGATGTAATCACCCAAAAAATACTACTTAACGAAACAAACACTCATAACTTTAAACTCGAATTCATAAAGAGATAGAGCAACCCTATATAGCAAAAGAAGGATAATTTCAATTACAAAGAAAAGTAAAATGAGTTATATCAAAGACAAAACAACAACATAACATAAAAAAATAATAATAATAAATATTATAAAGGAAAAATCAAGAACATACACGGAGTCAAAGCAACAAGAAACCCACAAAAAAAAAAAAAAACCAATAAGCGAAGACCTAAAATCGACCGAGCAAAAAAACTCACCTAAAAAGAATACCAAAGCCTCTCGCAACTTATCAATAAAGTTGTAGCTACGATCGAAAAAGATCAAATCCAAAAAAAAAAAAAAAAAAACTAGTTAGCGATGAATCCAAATCAAATTAATAATTTGGTTGAAATCCAATAAAATATTGAGAGGAATAGAGTATAAAGCGAGACAACATATTGAGAAAAACACTATTACAAAATTGATGGCAAAGGCTAGTTAGACCGGGAGAGAAAAACACTACTACAAACTAATATAATGAAAGTGAGGGCAATGTATTTTTTGATTCAATGAATGCATATATGTGTATGAGAGAGAGAAAGACATTATATATCTTAATGGATTACTGGTTTTTGGAGATAAAGACTAAAGATTTAGTAATCATCATTTGGTTTTAGAGATTACATTATCTCCATCTAACAAATAAAGTTTGAATTGTTTTTTTTTTTTTTTTTTACTTAATACTATACATTGCAACATGAGTCTTTCATTCTAATATTAGAACTTTCAAAATATTTTTAATTGTACCCTTAAATATAAGCACTTTTACTCTAAGAGTTATAGTTGTTTTTTCATAAAAGCTAAAAAAATGTATTTTACATGGCAAAGCCCCTCTCTAGTATAATGAAATTACATTTTGCGGTAGTCACCAATAAAATTACACACAACAAAAGTTTAATGAGCAAACAAGATTCAAGATCTAGCATATAGACCAAAAAGCAATAGAAGTATGAACAGTAAAATGAACAATGCAAGTGAATCCAAGTCCACAGGATTCTAAGTTCATAGAGGAAGGAACAATGCTTGTATAGTAAGCTATTTCTTTTTTCTTTTGTAGTTGCGTCTTTTATATCCATAATCTTTAAAAGATCTCCCACAACACCGATATGGAGACCAAAATTTAGCATGCTTTAGTGTCTAGGACTAATAAGATGTAGATTCCTTCTAACATTGCCTTTCTTTTGCCTTTTCTTTCATTAATCCATAAGTGTAAATCACTTCTTCTTCTTCTCCTTATTATTATTATTGTTGGTGGTGGTGTTTTTCTATGGAGTTAATTTTGGTTCATAGATACTATGAAAAATATGTTTTTTTTTTCTACTAGATTTCTTAACACATGCATCTTTTAGGTTGTACGAAAAAATATATTAATTATTTAAGTGCAATAGAGAAATTTTTACAAATAATTGAAATTATATTCTTGTTTAGTATCATTTTTAATTTATTTTATTTGTATATCAAACTACTAATTCAATATTAATCTCCAATACTAATTGTTTGTATATGCTCAATTTTTCTCTAAAATGAGTTAAGTAATTTTTTTTTCACTAATCCATATTATTTTTCTTAGTTTTGATATGGGTCTAAATTATACCATAAATAGATTGGCGTAAGGACATGTCCTACTCATCACAAGGCTTTTAGTCACAACAATAGATGCAAACATTCTATTAAAGCTAGTGTCTATATCTTTTCATTACTCATTAAGATGTATTATGAAGATTGACTTGGCACGTTAAAAGCAAGGTCTCGCTAAAAAAACCGAGTTGTTAGTTTCTTTAGTTTTTGCTAGTAAGTCGAAGTAGTTTAACTCAAAAGAACGTAATTTGCTTTAACTAAAATCCGACTATCCAAACATGGATTATGTGGCATGATCCTAGCAATTAAGGATCATCTTTAATTTATTATAAATATCAATCTCACAATATTATGAGGGGATTCCGACTATTAATATCTAGCAAAAGAAACTTTAGACCCTCTCTTACACATGCATACACATAAATTAGACATTAGCTAAAGCTTTGTTTGTTTGGATTTTGACCACCCACCTATCGGTTACTCGATTTATGCTTTGTTAGCACTATCTTCTTCTCCTCTCATGCCTCTTACTACTTGTATCCATTATACTTAGTTGGTTGATCGTTGCTTCTACAAGTCATAACACTAACTTTCTTTATTTTGATCGGTCTCGCCGACCAATGTATTAACTATTAATCACTCGAATAATTAAGAGAATCTTTGAAATTAAGATATATGACACAATCACTATAATTGAAGGTTATTAATAGTTTTCCTCCCTCCTAACTACTAAATCAAACAATAACAATGTCCAAATAAACAGTTTTTTTATATCGTTTCATCATGTAATTTTTCTAAGATTTCATTAATTAGTGTTATTTTTTCCTTACTCTTGGAATTTCTATTTGGATAAAAGAATTATTTTTTGATAATTTTTATTCTCCATAACATGTAATAAACTTTAGGTTGTGCAGGAATGAAATAGAAAGTTAATTGTCAGATAAAGTAGCTATTATTATTGACCAACTAATACAGTCGATTCTTTATAAAATAAAGTAGCCATTATTCTCCTTTTCCTCAAATTTGAATTATCACAAACATTGTGGTGCCCTGTAAATTCAGAATATGGAAAACACGGTACTGTAAAGTGATATGTACACTGATATTTTTAGAAGAATTGCTATGATGATTCAATATTTATTTTCTTGAGAAAGTGTATGCTTTTGCACACTTTGTCAGTGGTCGCTTGCTTTCTCTCTCTCTCCTTAAAAAGAATTTTGTTTTTGGTCCCATGCGTTTTCTTCATGTTTTGGTCTTAATACTAAAAATATCATCAAATTAGTTTTTACATGTTAAAACTATTTTTTTTTCTCCTAAATCTTAAACCGGTCATTTACACAAATTGATAGAGAATATTTTTTAGCAGCTTCTCCTAGGATCCGCATCTTTGCTATGATACTTAAGATTATACCATGGATTTGTTTTTCTTTGAGGTCGATTATACCATGGATTAGCAATAGTACTAGTGTAGTGAGGGGTATTTACGCATTAAAATCAAATTATAAAGGGCAAATGGTCAATTAAAACTTTTTTAAATAGTTGTTGCTTCGTTGTTATTTTTGTATATAGTAGTAATTAGTTTGTTGTATGCATTATCCTGCAGGCAAATACAGCATTGAAAGAAGCAATGAATAAGAAAACTGTTATATGAATTGCAATGTCTGATCATATCTAAACTTGTTTGACAGCAGTATGTTTTTATTTAAAGTTAAAAATTCTTTATATGGATTTTCATATACAAAGCATGAAAGCTTCCAATATATATATATATATAAAACTCAAGTATAGAAAAGCATTTGTAGTTTAACGGTTAAAGTAATTGTTTTCCGAGCAATAGAACTTAGGTTCAACTCCCGACGTAAATGCTTTTACGCTTACCCAAACTTTTAGGAATTTTTTTTTTCATTTTGATACCTGTTTTGTAATTTTTTTTAATTTTAATCATTAAAAATTTATCATATTTGATTTGTATCGCTATAATAAATATTAAAATTAATTTTTTTATTTTGGTTCCTATTTTGTAATATATTTTTTATTTTTTGCCTATTAAAACTTTATTATATTTGATTTATATTCCTATAATAAATATTTTTTTCTTGGCTTTTAGTAAAAATTTTTGTTCTTTTTTGTTCTTATTTTGTGATAAATTTTTATTTTAGTCATTAAAGTTTTATCGTGTTTAATTTTTATCCTTACTATACTAAAACTAAATATTTTATAATATTTGATTTTTTTCTCATTTTTTCTTGGTTTTTAATAAAAATTTACGTTCTTTTCTCATTCTTATTTTGTGATATGTTTTTATTTTATTTATTAAAGTTTTATCATGTTTGATTTTTATTCTTACTATACTAAAACTAAATAAAGTTTACTATTTTAAACTTTTTTTATACTATTCACTCTTTTTTTCTTTTTACCCTCACAATGTACTATTCGATTAGGTGGTTTTCTTTTTTTTTTTTTTGTAATTTTTAAATTATTTTGTTTTGATCCCTGAAATTTTATTATAAGAAATACTAAAAGAAAATGGAAAAGTGTTGTAGCACTTTCCCTGTTCATTCAATGTTTGCCTCTTTTTTCTTTTTTTTTTTGTTTTCCCATTGCTTAGCCAAGCTTTTAGAAAAAAAATTTTATTTTGGTCCCTTTTTTGTAATTTTTTTTATTTTGGTCATTAAAAATTAATTATATTTGATTCTTGTCTCTATAATAAATATTAAAATTTTATTATATTTGATTTTTATCCCTATAATAAATATTTTTTCTTAGCTTTTAGTAAAAAAATTTATTCTTTTTTTATTCTTATTTTGTGATATATTTTTATTTTAGTCATTAAAGTTTTATCATGTTTGATTTTTATCCTTAGTATACTAAAACTAAATATTTTATTATATTTGATTTTTATCCCTATAATAATTTTTTTCTTGGCTTTTAGTAAAAATTTATGTTCTTTTTTTACTCTTATTTTGTGATATGTTTTTATTTTAGTTATTAAAGTTTTATCATATTTGATATACTAAAACTAAATAAAGTTTACTATCCTAAACTTTTTTTTGTACTATTCACTCCTTTTTTTTACCCTCACAATATACTCGTTCACTCTTAAGTGGGTTTTTTTTTGGTAATTTTTAAATTTTTTCATTTTGATCTCCGAAATTTTTAAATAAAAATTATAATTCCTAGCAGATGCACTACATGCCTTTTCTCTTTTTTTTTCTTTGATTTTTTTTATCAATTTGTGTTCTTTTTTTTATTTAATTGGGTTTTAAAATTTGTAAAAATCAATCATTACTTTTTTCCACACAAACCGACGACTATATATATATATATAGATCAAATGTATGTATTTTAAAAACATAATCTTCTCATCAACATTAAATAAGAATAAATTTTATTTTTTTATTGGTTAATTTTTATGCAAGTCTATACATTAATTGTAAATTTATTTTTTTAGATGTCTTCCTATAAAACAATATATTTTTAAAGTATTTATTTTTAAATTCTTAATTAATATTTCAGTTTTAAATTATATATTACTAGTTTTTATTTAGAAATCCCTAAATAAAGAAAAATAAATCATGTTTTTTTTAACATAAATTTTATGAAAAAAAAGTAGTAATAATTAAAGGCAAAATTTTAAAATAATTTTGTTCTATCTCGCCTGTAGTGTTACGCAGATAATTTCAAAAATTAATCTTCTCATCAGCATTAAATAAGAAGTTTTTTTAGTTTTTATGATAGTCTATCTATTAATTATAACTTTATTTTTGTAATACAATATTATGAAAAATGTATTTTAAAATTTTTTTTAATTCTTAATTAATATTTTAGTTAAAATCAATCCATAAAGAAGAATTATTTATGTTTTTTTAAGAAAAAAATTTATAAAAAAATTTAAAAAAATTAATTAAATAAAAAATTATAATTAAAAATTTTTTAAATTTTAAAATGATTTTATTCTATCGGATCCGCAGCGTAGCACGGGTAATTGACTAGTTCATATCTAAACTATATGGGTTGTCAATATATTGTGATACAAATTTTTATAGAACAAAAATACATAGGCGATAGAAGGCCTGACTTTTAACCAATTTTGTTTTTAGAAAAAAGCCATTACATCATGCACCTATTTAAGTTAAAATTAATAAATGACATATTTTTTGAAACTTCATAGACGGTCACAGTCATGAAAATAGACAAAGAAAGGAAAAAACACTATAGGCATATGAAGGATCTAAACAACACGATCAAATTTAATGGATCTTTACATAGTTCTAAAGAGCAAAAAGCAATAGAGGGGTTTCATTCAACAATCTCTTAAGCTATGATTATAATTATTAGTCTTGTTGTATATCAATTCCATCAATTTGACTACCATTAAAATTAATCAAGCTCCAAGAGATGTAATATACAAATTATTGTATTCAATTAATTCTTCCTTTTCTTTTCTATAAATTTCATTACAAAATAATTTAGTTTTCTTTATGCATTTATTCTTAAACAAAAAATATAATAATTTAAATAGTAAGTTTCAATTAAAAATCTAAAAATATATGTCCTAATATTTTTTCATTAGATTGTGTAAAAAAAACATTAAATTTAAAAAATTTGTATAAAAATTAAAAAAAATTCTTCTTATCCTCATTGAACATTCATAAGACAATTAATTTTTTAAAGTACGTACATTAAGTTATTATATATTTACTTACATAATAATAAAAAACATTAGCATAGGAAAAATTCTAATCTTATTTGAAAAGTATGATATTATCGAGTAATTTTTAAGATATTATTTTAATTATTTTATTTAAATAACAATCGTTTTAGAATATTATAATAAATAAATAAATAAATACTGAACAGTTCGTGTTTTGTACGTAGATGTTAAACCAATACCATAATTCACTCCTCAAATCTCTACTGCCAAATATCAAACACTAATTCACCTCTCAAATCTCTCTCATCAAATGTCAAACCATAATTCATTTCCCTCATCTCTCTTACCAAATGTCAAACACTAATTCACTCCTCAAAAATCTCTCTACGAAATATCAAACCATAATTCACTCCTCAAACTATGAATGAAATTTCTCTATGATATTTTCAATTCTAGTGTGCAATATTTTATCAATCAAATCATTTATTTTGCTCATATTTATATTACTTTCCTACATTGTATCTAATGTAATTCAAGTATAAATACTATTAATATCAATGAAATACATCACAACTTTCATATTCATTATTTGTGCAACTCTTTTATGGTATTAAAGCCCTAGGGTGTATTACTTCTCGCTCTTTTAATTAATGTCTTCTCTAATCCTTTACCTTGCTCGTTCTTCGTTTTGTAACCCTAAGTTTTTTTCTCTCTATAAACTTATTATAACCTTAACCAAACACTATATATCTCCCGACCTTTATGTTTCTTTTCCTCTCTTATCTCTCAAATCCCAACCATGGCAGAAACAAACATAGGCAATGTCACAGTTATGTTTGGAAACACGACCACCTATTCACCTCAGGTTGTTGCCTCTCCATCTCAAGTCATCTCCATCAACATAACCTCATTAATTTCACACAAGTTGTCTAAAGGTGGAAAGTATTCGATGTAGTGTTCTTAGATGAAAAATCTCTTTCTAGGCTATGATCTCCTAAGATTCATGATGGAACTCATTCTTGTCCTCTTAATAATGATCCAGAACATAAAATCTAGACCCGTTAAGACCATCTCATTCTGTTCGCCATTCAAAATATAATGAAAGTAATTTTTGCTTTACTTGTTTCACACTGCAAAACCTTTCAAGAAGCCTAAAATATACTCAAGACTAAATATTCTAATAAATCCAACACTCTGATGGTTAGCCTTCTCAATTCTCTTTCTAAGGTTAGTCAAAATGGAAAGAACTAAATTTATGCAATCTGTAAAAACTATAGTAGATGATCTTGCCATGATTGGTCATGAAATAAATAATGGTAAGGTTGTTACAGACACCCTAATGGTCTTATTGATGACTACAATGAAATCAAAGATGCTCTGTGAGAACGAGAATCTCCTATTGGCTTTAAAGAACTACTGGAAAAATTTCTTAGTTATGAGACCAGTCTTAAGCTTAATGAAATAGTGAAGGAGTCTACTGCTATCATTGCTCAATTCAACTAAAAGAAAAAACGAGGGAGAGGTGGTTACCACAATAACTCACGGGGAAGACAAGGCTTTAGGAATCAACCTAACCAAAAATCAAGGCTACAGAAATCCATACTACCAATCAAACCAAAGAAATGCGTCCATGTCCACTACCTACAGTTACAACTTCTCACCAAATGAAACCTAGCCACTAAACAACCATGATGGATAATCTTAACCTATATATCAATTATGTGATAAGATTGGCCGTGTTGCTAAGTTTTATCACTCATGTTCTACTATAAATCCTCCTTCTTGGCCTCAAGCAAATTTCACCACAATTTATAATTGAAAAAATCAACCTGAATGGCTTGTTAACTCTAGAGCATCTCACCACATCACCTTAGACCTTCAGAACTTATCAATTCACTCAAACTATGAAGGCAATGATGACGTTATAGTAGAAGATGTAAAAGTATCTGTATCACTCATATTGGACATATTACTCCTAACTCTAATAATTCCATGTTAATAATGTTTTGTATTCCCTCAAAATTAAGACAAACTTACTATCTATTTCTCAATTTTGCTCACAAAATAACACCTTTATTGATTTTTTTCTTGATTTCTTTCTTGCAGAAGGATCTAACTATGAGGGCATCCCTGTGCAAGGCCAGAATAAAGGACACGTGTATGACTGGCCAAATTCATAAACTTCATCACTTGGTTCTCGAACGTGCTTATGG